GATTCACATTTTAGATAAGGAAATTCCGCATATTGTTTTGTTGATTCATTTCGAGTTTTAATAATTTTGGCATTTAATTGATTGATATTTGGTGAGGTTGCGAAATTTAGAAGTATATTTACTTTTTTGCGAATATTTTTCTATATCTGGTTTTCTTATATAGTCATTGGATTTTTATTTCGAGGAATTTTTATTTTAAGGAAACTATATTTAGCCGAACTTATCCTGGCAAATAAATTTCTGCTAAATAGAAATTTTATCAAGAAAAATTCAATTTGATAAAAATTCTGCCTAATAAAAATTTCTATCAAATAAAAGTTCTGCTAAATAGAAATTTTATCAAGAAAAATTCAATTTGATAAAAATTCTGCCTAATAAAAATTTCTATCAAATAAAAGTTCTGCTACATAAAAATTCTATAAAAAAAATTCGGTTTAATAAAAATTCTGCCAAAGGAAAGTTTCTAACCAACAAAAGTTTTGCTTAATACCAATTCTGACAGAGAAAAATTCTGTTAAATAAAAATTCTGTCAAATCAAAATTTCTAACCAACAAAAGTTTTGCTAAATAACAAATCTGTCACATAAAAGTTCTCCCAAATAAAAATTCTCCCAAATAATAATTCTGCCAAATAAATGTTCTGCCAAATGAAAATTCTACCAAAGAGAAAGTCTGCCAAATGAAAATTTTACCAAATAGAAAGTCTGCCAATTAAAATTTCTGCTAAATATAAATTCTATTCAAAGAGAAAAAATTTGCCAAATAAAAATTTCTAACTGATAAAAATTTTGCTAAATAGCAATTCTGTTAAATAAATGTTCTGACAAAAAAAAAATTCTATCGAATGAAAAGTCTGTAAAATAAAAATTTTTCCAAATAAAAGTTCTGCTAAATAAATGTTCTAAAAAAAAATTCTATCAAATGAAAAGTCTGTAAAATAAAAATTTTGTCAAATAAAAGTTCTGCTAAATAAAAATTCTGTTAAATAAATGTTCTGCCAAATATAAATTCATAGAAAAATTCAGTTAAATAAAAATTCTGTAAAATAAATAGTTTGCTAATTAAAAATTTCTATTAATTAAAATTCTGCCAACTAAAAATTCTGCTAAATATAAATTCTATCGAAAAGAAAAAATTTTCCAAATAAAAATTTCTAACAAATGAAAGTTTTGGTAAATAACAAGTTTGTTAAATAAATGTTCTGACAAATAAAAATTCTACCAAATGTAAAGTCTGTCAAATAAAAATTTTGCCAAATTAACGAACAAATTAATGTTCTGCTAAATAAAAATTCTGTTAAATAAATGTCCTGCCAAATATAAATTCTATCACAGAAAAATCCGGTTAAATAAAAATTCCATCAAATAAATATTCTCCAAATTAAAAATTTCTATTAATTAAAATTCTGCCAAATAAAAATCCCACCAAATTAAAAATTGAAATAAAAGAAAATAAAAATCCAATAAATACAAATCCAGATAAAAAAAAATTCTACAAAAGAATAATTCTATTAAAATAAAAATTTTAATAATCACTGAACACACACGCAGACGACTAATTAAAAATTTCTGCAATAAATTCACAGTATTGATAGTTTTATTATAATGTTAAATAATAAAAGGAAATATTGCAAAAGTCAAGGTCGTATTAAAAAAGAAAATAATAAATAAATATTTCAAGAGAACATTTTAATGTCTTTGTGTTTCTTCTTCATATATAATAATGCGTGAAGGAAAATTTACATACAAACCAGACGCACCATCAACCTTCGTTTATGTTTATTTATGTATATTCATTGATGGCCGTTTTTCAATATATATTTTTTTTAAATTGCGCGCAAAACGTTTTCGATTATAAAATGCCGAAAGGTCTTGAGATTCACACTCTACTTGATCTGAACTCGAAATTCAGGAACGTGCATATCAAGGCCGATCTCTCAACGAGCTACATTTTCTTTCAACTGATTCTTATTTGCGCTTTTAAACCTCTCTCTAATTACATTTTCATTTAATTAGAACTCATTTTGTTCAAAAAGCAAAAAAAATTAAAAAAAGAAGGAATGTTCCAATTTTTACACGTCTTACTTTTCATTTCAGTAAATTTCATTTCAAAGTAAGAAAAAATTTAATTATTACGTTAGAATAAAAATAATTTATTTATTTTTATTGAAATCACAAAATATTAATAGAAATAGTTATAATAATGACAATTTTAAGAATGATATTAATAATAATAATAATAATAATAATAATAATAATAATAATAATAATAATAATAATAATAATAATAATAATAATAATAATAATAATAATAATATAACGATAATAAAAAAAATAATTCAATTATTTAAAAAAATGTAATAAAATTCGTTGTAATAATTCAATCAATTTTTATAAATTATAAAATTTTTCAAAACATTTTAATTATTTTTTATGCAATTTTAAATAAATTCCTCGAAAATTGTAATTATTTTCAAAAATTTTTTGCAAGAATTTAATTACATTTCATAAATAATGAAATTCCTCGCTGTTATTCAAATATTGTCAAAATCTACTATTTTAATAAAATTTCTCAAAAAGAATTCAATTATTTAAGAAAATGTAATAAATTCGTTTGCAAGAATTTAATTATTTTCTTCAATAATAAAATTCTTCACAGGATTTCAATTATTTAAAAGAAATTTTATAAAAATTCGTTGCAAGAATTCAATTATTTTCATAAATAATAAAATTCTTCTTAGAATTTTAATTATTTTTAAAAAATATAATAAAATTCGTTGTAAAAATTCAATTATTTTCATAAATAATAAAATTCTTCACAGGATTTCAATTATTTTTATAAAATGTAATCAAATTCGTTGTAAAAATTCAATTATTTTCATAAATAATAAAATTCTTCACAGGATTTCAATTAATTTACAACTCCATTTTACGAAATTTTGATTATTCGGAAATTATTCAATTAAATATTTAGAAAATAAAAACTTGAAATAATTTCAAAAAAAAATTTAATTAAACTTATTGAGAAAAATTAATTCTATATACAATTCTTAATTAAAAGTATAAAAAGTTCAAATTTTCAAAGATTTTAATTTGAAATTCATTTTTAAATCAATATTTATTAAAAAATTTTCAACGAGAATTCGATTATTTAACTATATATAAATAAATATTTTATTAAATAATTGAATGTTTCTTAAAATAGAATTTTCATAAAGAATTTTATCAAAAAATTTTTAAATAATTGAATTCTCTTGACAAATTTTAATAAATTTTTTGAAAATAATTGCATTTCTCGAGAAATTTGATGAAAATTGTATTAAAAATAATTGAAATTTTGACAAGAATTTTAAAAAAATTTTTGAAAATAATTGAATTTCAGAGAAAAATTGTATTATTTGCATAAAAATAATTGTATTTTTGATGAGAATTTTTGTTAATTTTTAAACATAATTGGATTTTGTGAAGAAATTTATTAAAATTATTTTGAAAAAAATTGAATTGTTACGCAAAGAATTTCATTAAAATTTTTGAAAATAATTTTATTCCTTCAAGAAATTTAATTAAAAATTTATTAAAAATAATACTTAAATTCTACTAAATAAATTGTAGCAAAGATTATTAAAATAATTGAATATCTTTGATAAATTTTAATAAAATTTCTAAGAATAATAACTTTTTTCGAGAAATTCCATGAAAATTGTATTAAAAATAATTGAAATTCAACATTGAGTTTTATTATTTATGAAAATAATTGAATCCCTGTAAAAAAATGTTATTATTTATAAAAATAAGTGAATAATATATGGAAATAATTTGTAAATAATTGAATTCCTGTGAAATTTTTATTATTTATGAAAATAATTAATAGTTTGCGTAGAATTTTATTAAACTTTTCTTTAAATAATTAAATTCTTTTGGAAAATTTTATTTAAATAGAAGATAAATTAAAAATCATTGAATTGAGGAAAATTTTTGAAAATAATTAAAATTTTGACAAGAATTTTTTTAGAATTTTTAAAAATAATTTAATTTCGGAGAAGCTTTTTATTATTTATAAAGATAATTGAAATTTTGACGAGAATTTTTTTTTATTTTTAAACATAATTGAATTTTTGCAAAGAATATATATGTTTTCACTTTCGTGAATAATTGAATTTTTGCTATTTAAGAACTTTAATAACATTTTTAAAGAAAATTGAATTTCTACATGAAATTTATTAGTTTTGAAAATAATTTAATTTTTGCCTACAATTTCAGTAAAATTTTTGGAAATAATTGAATTTCTTTCATGATTATTATTATTTATGAAAATAATTGAATCCCTGTAAAAAATGTTATTATTTATGAAAATAAGTGAATAATATATGGAAATAATTTGTAAATAATTGAATTCCTGTGAAATTTTTATTATTTATATGAAAATAATTAAATTTCTGCAATCATTTGTAATTTTGCTTGAAAATTCAATTTCTTTTAGTGTTTTGAACTAAAATTCTTCTATATAAATCAATTATTTTTAATAAAACTAGTTAAATATATGTGACGCTCCACGAGAAAAGGGACCTTATTTACTCTTGTCATAAGGTCCCTTTTCTCGTGGAGCTTTACATATATTAAAAAATTTAACTAATTTCAGAAGAATTTTAGTTTAAAAAATTTTTTTTTAAACTAATAAGTTTTTTTATATTTCTAATTAAATTTATTTAAAATTGAAATTTTACAAAATTTAAATCAAAATCTTTGAAAATTCATCTACTTATGAAAATTGTTAACGCAATTGTTTATTAATAAATCTTTTATTTATTTTTTTATTTATTTATTTATTTATTTATGCAGAGATGTAATTCATGCGCATGTGCCTCTAGAGAGAGAAAGAAGAGGGGACGTTAGGAACATTAGCGACTTATTAATTTCTTCTTTAATCATTAATTGTTTATCAATTATTTTAATTAATTAATTTTTTTTTTTTTAAATAAAAATTTTTCTTTTCTGTCGCAGATGGTCAATTCAGCAACAGTGCTGATAATACTCCTCCGGTGATGTGGTTCGATAGGAATATTCGTTTATGGGATACGGATCCAATTGGACATCAAGTTATTAAAGTAAGAGCTGAGGATTCTGAGGACGATGATTTAACATTTAGCTTGGAAAAAAAGGACGCCGATTCTCAAGAGTCGCTGCCTTTTTCAATCAACAACATGACTGGAATTGTCGTTGTAAATGAGACGCTTCAAGGAAGAGTAAGTAGAATGAGTCATTGCACGACGGCTAGTAGGTACCTTTACTTAATAAAGAAAACCTACACAGACGCGAAAGCAAAAACTGGCTTTACAGATCGACCTGAAATTCTTCTTCATCTTCTTCTTTATCTTCTTTTACCTTTTTTATATTTTTTTTCTCTCCTTTTAACTTCAGATATTTTCTATCTTCTTTCATCTTCTACATATTTTCCATCTCCTTTTATCTTCTTTATATTTTTTATCTTCTTTTACCTTCTCTTGCCGCTTCTCTATAACGTATGACTCAAACATGTTTGAATCAGTTTCAAAAAAAAAAAAAAAAAAAAACTTGATTTTTTAATATTATACTCTCGAACATTTTATTGCACAATGAATTTAAATATTTTTTTTCCTCTTCTAGATCTTAATTTTTTTCCCCCTTTTCTTGTGCGTATAGAAAAATCTTTCTCGATTCCTATCTTTAAAATTTCAAGGAGAAATTATTTTTTAAATTTTATTTTTAAGTTATTTTTAAATTTTAATTCCTTATCTTTGAATTTATAATGGAGAAAATGAAATTTTTCTCTTCTCTAAAAATAATGTGGTATTCTATTTTTAAAAGAAATTAAATTTTTATTGAGAATAATTATTTCTATTGCAGTTATTAGAATTGAGAAATATTTATTTATTTACACAAGATCTCGAAGTATTAACAAATATAAATAAATAAACTTAACAAATAAAATAATTATAACAATTATTATTAATTTGTTAAGAGTCAGTCACACAAATTATTATTAATAATTATAATATTTATAATAATTAGTGCTAATAAATAAAGTAATTACTTGCAAATCAAAAATAAATAATAATTTAATCGTTTGTTTATTTAGAAATTTTTTCCTTTTTTCGTTTCTTTATTTGACAAATTATTTATTCGTTTATTGATTTTGTTATTTATTTGTTGATTTATTTAATTATTTATTTATTTATTTGTTTATTTATCTATTTATTAATCTGTTTATTTATTTAGAGATTTATTTTTTGTTTGTTAATTTTTTCACTTAATTATAATTTTAAGAAAATAAAAAATTGTTCTATTACATTTTTTTACGAATTTCTTTAATTGTTAAACTATTTGAAAACATCAATAACTTTTTTTTAAATAAAAATATTTAATCAATATTATTTTTTCATAGGAATTAAGAATTTCAAAAATTTCAAATTCAAATCTTTTTAAATTTAATAACTTATAATAATTAAAAATGACCGAGTGATAAAATCATTATTTTTAAAAATAATAAATTTTTTGCAAAGTATATAAATTTAAAAAATTTTTGAAAATTGGATTTCTGAGAAAAATATTTTTATTTATGAAAACAATTCAATTTCTCGGAAGAATTTTATTAGTTTTGAAAATAATTGATTTTTTGTCAAAATTTTTGGAAATAATTGAATTTTTCCAAAAAATTTATTAAAATTTTTGGAAATAATTCAATTACTGCGAAGAATTTTATTACAATTTTCAAAAATAATTGTTAGGAAACATTGTATTAAAATTTGTTGGATTTAATATTAATTTAATATAATTCCTTTGAAAAATTTAATTATTGGATTTTTTTAGTGTTTTTAACAAAAATTTGAATTACAAATTTTTAAATTCTATTATTTTTAAAATTGCTAATTTTATCCTAAAAAAGTTAATTGCTAGTTGTTAATAATTATTAATGATAAATAAAATACCTGCTAAAAATTTTTTATTTATAAGTTAAATTCATTAATTAAAAATATTTGCAATAATTATTATGCAAGGAATTTTTTTTAAAGTAATAACTAAAAGAATTTTAATAATAATTATTTTTTTATTCTATTTATTAAAAATTGTTCTTAAATTTTTTTTCAATTGTTTTTGTTTGAATTTTTTTAACAAGAAATATTTGCTATTTTGTATAATTTTCCTTTATTTTGCAATTAGTTAAAGAATTTTTTTCGCTTTTTACAAAATTGAATAATTTATCAAAATTACGAGTCGAATTATTTTTTGTGCAAGAGAAATAATTAAAATATTTGTCGCATATATTTTTGTTATTTTTATTTTCTATTTGGTAATTCTCTTTTTTTTCACAGACAATTTCATTCATTCTTTTTTTTGCAAATTTGTTGTGTATGTAATGTTTGAAATCCGGTTTGGACAATTATTTTTATTTTAACTGTTTCCAGGGAGGACAAGAGCTATTCTTCTACGTGACTGTCTCCGATGGAAAAGTAGCATTAAAGTCAGAAGCCTACGCTGTAATACAAAAAAACGAGACAGAGTCCAATGCAGGTCACACCAGGTAAATAATTTTTTCCTCAAGTACAAATTATTTTCATAATTCTCTCTTCTTACGAAAAATTTAAAGTAAAAAATGGAAACTTAAAAAAAAAACATTTTTTCTTTCATTAGGAAGGAAAATTTACGAAAAAGAATTTAAACAATAATTTTTAATTTTATTTATGTAAAACCAAAATTTTGTTCTGTTTTGAAAATGAAATAAAAGAAAAAAATATTCTTAGAAAGTTTTGAGAAAGTTTTCCAGTTCGGGCAGTATTTCAACTTTTTAAATCATACCTCTTAGAATTTAAAAAGTTGCACCAAAAAGGAATATCAATAATAATTTGGCACGAAACTTTCTTTCCCTCTCGAAATTAATTAAAATCGGTTATAGGAGATCGTTTTCTTCCGAATAAGAAGGAGGGGGAGGGAAAAAAAAGTGAAATGTGACCTAAACCACTTTCTCCTTCACTCCCTCATTTATTGATGTCAGAAGTCTGATAGTTTCTAATTTGAAGAATCTTTCGTTTCTTACGCAATCGAATAGAATTTTAAACTAACGAATTTAAATTTTTTTTTTCATTTGAAATTTTTATATTTTTGCATTATTTATATATAGAAGCATTATTTGCATATACTTTATATTTATCTCAAGATTAGAATAGAATTTAAGAATAGAACAGAATTTTAAAATAGAATAGAATTTTTAAAATAACAAATTTTAATTTTTTACTGAATAAAAAGATTAGATTTTTAAAAAATTTCGATTTCAGTTTTTTAGAAATTAGTTAAATTTTTGAATAACAATTTATTATAAAAATTTTCAAAAAATCGAAATGTGAAGTTTTGATTGAAAACAAATGAATTTTTGATTTTAAAAAAAACTTTCCTTTTTTATTGAATAGTTGAATTCTCAGGAAACTTTCTCAAAAATTACCAAAAATAATTAATTAAGAGAAGAATTTTAGATAAAAATTAAAAAATATAATTAAATTTTGGAAAATGACAGTTGTAATTTTTAGAAATAATTAAATTTCGGAAAATTTGAAACTCTAATTTTTATGAAATTTTAGTTCTTCTGGAAAAACAAAAAACAATAAGTATTAAAAGAATTTTTTTTCAAAATTAGTTAAATTAGTTTGGAAAAATTGTATTAAAATTTGTTGGATATAATTGAATTCCTGTGAAAAATTAAATTATTTTTGAAAATAATAAATTTTTTGCAAAGAATTTTATTAAATTTCTTGAAAATAATTGAATTACAGCGAGAAAATTTATTTCAATTTTCAAAAAGAATTATTGGGAAAAATGTTATTAAAATTATATATAAAGTAATTGAATATTTGTGAAGAATTTTATTAAAATTGAATTTCTGTGAAAAATTTCATTGTTTTTAAAAATAATAAAATTTTTGTAAAAGTATAAATTATAAAAATTTTTGAAATTTTGATTTCTGAGAAAAATATTTTTATTTATAAGAACAATTGAATTTCTCGGAAGAATTTTATTAGTTTTTAAAATAATTGATTTTTTTCAAAATTTTTAAAAATAATTTAATTTTTCTAAAAAATTTATTAAAATTTTTGGATGTAATTGAATTACTACAAAGAATTTTATTAAAATTTTCAAAAATAATTGTTAGGAAAAATTTTTTTTAAGTTTGTTGGAAATTGAATTCCTGTGAAAAATTTAATTATTTTTGAAAATAATAAATTTTTTGCAAAGAATTTTATTAAATTTCTTGAAAATAATTGAATTTTTCCTTAAAAATTTGTCAAAATTTTTGGAAATAATTGAATTACTGCAAAAAAATTTATTCGAATTATCAAAAAAAATTTATAGGAAAAATTTTATTAAAATTATATATTAAATAATTGAATTTAGTGCAGAATTTTATTAAAATTGAATTTCTGTGAAAAATTTCATTATTTTTAAAAATAAAAAAAATTTTGGCAAAGAATATTATTAAAATTTTTGAAAATTGGATTTCTGAAAAGAATTTATTATTATTTATCAAAACAATTGAATTTCTCAGAAGAATTTTATTAGTTTGAAAATAATTGATTTTTTTGTCAAAATTTTTGGAAATAATTGAATTTTTCCAAAAGATTTATTAAAATTTATTTGGAAATAATTGAATTCCTGTGAAAAATTTAATTATTTTTGAAAGTAATAAATTTTTTGCAAAGAATTTTATTAATATTCTTGAAATAATTGAATTACAGCAAAAAAATTTATTCTAATTTTCAAAAATAATTTATAGGAAAAATTTTATTAAAATTATATATAAAATAATTGAAATTTTGTGCAGAATTCTATTAAAATTGAATTTCTGTGAAAAATTTCATTATTTTTGAAAATAATAAAATATTTTGAAGGTATATAAATTATTAAAATTTCTGAAAATTATATTTTTGAGAAGAATATTATTATTTATGAAAACAATTGAATTTCTCAGAAGAATTTTATTCGCTTTCGAAATAATTTGAATAATTTAGCCAAGAAATTTTTTAAAACTTTTGGATATAATATTGAATTCCTTCCAAAGATTTTATTATTTTTGAAAAAAGGATTTTTTTTTTAAATTTTGGAAATAATTGAATTTCTGCAAAGATTTTCTCTAGTTTTGAAAATAATTGAATTTTTCAATTCAATTCAATTCAAAAGTAGAAGACTTTAATTAAAATTTTTGAAAATAAATAATTAAATTTCTATATTTTTACAATATTTACACAGAAGCTTTATTTAAAAGTAAAAAACTTTATTTATTTATATTTGATTATTAACAGTTTTTGTGAACTATTTTTAGATCGCCATTTCAACAGGGTCCTGGTGGACGTATGCGGCCGCCAATTTTGAAATTACCAAATCTATCGGGCTATCCACGGCCACCAATAGGACAACTTCCAACATTACAACCATCGTCAATTGAATTCCCTCAGCCAGTGACTAAGCCAAGAACAACGAAATTACAGCCACAGGGTGGTGGGAAATTTGATGAAAATGAAGAGCGAACGAGTACGGTATTTCCTGCGGAAGACGCCGAGGCGAATGAAATTGAAGGTCATACATTGAGTACTAAAGTTGCGCCAAGTGAAGCACCACAATCGCAATTTATTGCAATGACCTTCATACCTGTTGCCGCTGTCTGTATACTTCTTCTTATATTTGGCGCTGGCACATGGTTCCTTCGAAACAGGTTTTGTGGAAGTCGAAAGTCCAAGGAGGACACGGTGAGTTTTTGTTTCTCTCTCAATTGGATTATCATTTTGTTTTGTTTTCTTTTTTCTTTCTTTTTTTTTTTTTTTGTTTTTCAATTGAGAGATCAACCCACATCTTATAATAACCTGGTCATCCTTTCTCCTTTCCCTCTTCTTTTTTTCACTTTTCTTCCGTTTATGATCATAATTCATTTTTTTTCTCTTCTTTACCCCTTGACTCATATTTCATTGAAAGTCGAAAACGATTTCGTAACTGTATTTTTCATTGAATGGGAAATTGAAGACTTTTTCTTTTATTTATTTATAACAAATAATTATTTATTTATTTTTGTTTAAATTTTGAATTTTAATTTTTATATATACGCGACTGATGCAATTTCAATTCACACGAAGAGTTGAATTAAAAAAATCTTTTTATTTAAATAAATTTTTCTTTTGAAGTAATTTTTATTTGATCAATTTTTCATCTAAAACGAACTCCCATCCTGATTTTTATTTAAATGAATTTTTCACTTAACTTTACATTTTCTTCTACGTTTTCAATTTACTAAATTTTTATTCCAGTGGATTTTAATTTCACTGAATTTTAAATTTAATAAATTTTCATTTTACAAAATTTTTATTTCGACAAATTTTTATTTTACTAAGTTTCCATTTTTCCAAATATTTATTTCACTGAATTTTCATTTTACTAAATATTTATTTCACTAAATTTCTATTTTACTAAATTTTTATTTTCTTAAACTTTTTATTCTGACGAATTTCCATTTTTCTACTAAATATTTATTTTACAAAATTATTAATTCATTAAATTTTTTATTTTCTCAGAATTTTTATTTAGCTAAATGTTCATTTTATCAAATTTTTATTTCATTACAATTTCCATTTTACTAACTGGTTTATTTTAGAAAATTTTTATTCACTGAATTTTTATTTCCCTAAAATTTTTATACCAGCAAATTTTGATTTAAAAAAACTTTCAGATAACTAGATTTTTATTAAACTAAATTTTTATTTTACCTAATATTTACTTCACTAAAATTCCATTTTATAAAATTTTTATTTTCTTAAATTATTATTCCAATGAATTTCCATTTTTTTAAATGTTTATTTCACTAAATTTCCATTTTTCCAAATATTTATTTCACTAAATTTTCATTTTACCAAATATTTATTTCACTAAATTTCCATTTTACTAAATATTTATTTCACTAAATTTCCATTTTACTCAATTTTTATTTTTTTAATTTTTTCGCTCTAACAAATTTTTATTTTTCTAAATTTTTTACTAATTTTACTAATTTTTTTATTACTAAATGTTTATTTTACTAAATTCTGAACTCGTTTTATATTCATTTTCCTGAATTGTTATTTAACTAAATTTTCATTCTGCCAAATTTTTATTTCACTACAATTTCATTTGACCAAATTTTCAATTTACCAAATTTCTATTTCACTAAATTTTTGTTTTACTAAATATTTGTTTTACTATTTTTTCAATTTTACTCAATTATTATTTCCCTAAATTTTTATTTAACTAAATAATTCTTGTTTTACTAAATTTTTATTTAATTATTAAATTTTCATTTTACCAAATTTCTATTTTTAATTTTTGCTTTAAAACAAGTGACTCATGGATAAAAAATTCAGAAAATAAGAAAATTTATAAGTAAAATGCTGATTAGAAACAAAAATTAAAATTTGTTTTCTATGAATTTCGCTTTAAATGTGGAATTTTTTTCGTTAAAAATATCTTTTTGAAGTGAAATTTTTGTTTAAGTTTAAATTTTGAAAATAATTTTCATAATTTTTTCAATTTAATTAAATTTAATAAAACTCTTCAATAATTTTACAAATTTAAAATTGTTCCAAACAAAAATTTACCTGAGTGAAAATTTAGTTAATAAAAAATTGATTAAGTAAAAATCCCATTAAGTTAAAATTAAAATATTAAAAAATAAACCTAAATTAAATTGAAATTACAATAAAATTAGATTGAAATCATAAAATAAAATTTTAGATTAAAATTATAGATTAAAATTATTCATTAAAATTATAGATTAAAATTATTCATTAAAATTGTAGATTAAAATTATATACTAAAATCAAGTGATAAATAGAATAGAATGAAATTAGAATTGAATTAAAAATAAATTTTAAATAAAAATTTTATTCCATGAAAATAGTGTAAAAGAAAAATTCTGTAAAATTAAAATTATGCAAAATCTTCAGTTTTTTCATTCTAATTTCCTTTTTAATTTAGTAAATTTATAATTCAGTGAAATAGAAATTTAATAAAATAAAAGTTCAGTAAAATGAAGATTCAGAAAAATGCAAATTCTCGAAAACTGCAAACAATTGAAAAAAATTGATAAACAGAATATTAAAATTAGAAAATTATACGATTCGATGAGACAAGAGTATACAATTATTTAAAATACTATTATGAACTTTTAGAAGGAGCAGGCCAGCGTTAGTGTATCAAATATATCGGACGATCCATCTCTAGTCCTGAAAAGATGGGGAGGACCAAAAGCTCGTAACAATCGTTACGAGCCTTGGGAAAAGGAAAGTCGATTGGGCATCCAAAACAAATCACACAAAGATAAATGGGAGTTTCCAAGACACAGGCTAAAGGTCAGTTAATAATATTCAAATTCGTCATTGTCTCTTAGAGAGCTCGCAAATTATTTTCATTTCTAATATCTCCAATCAAAAGGAAATGACTAAAAAATAAATTTTTTTCTTCTATTATACGCAGGTCTTCAGTATTCTTGGAGAAGGTTGCTTTGGGCAAGTGTGGAAATATGAAGCCATAGACATTGATGGTATTCCCGGACCAACGATTGTTGCTGTTAAAACATTAAAAGAGAATGTCACGGAGAGAGAGAGACTGGACTTTGCACAGGAACTCAAAGTCATGAAAAGCCTCGAGCCACATCCAAATGTGGTGAGATTACTTGGATGTTGCACTGAACGTGAACCGATGTTTATCATTTTGGAGTATATCAGCGGCGGGAAATTGCAAAGTTTCCTGAGAGCATCGAGAGAAGAGAGAAATCATGGAAAACCCGGTCTCACGTCAAGGGATTTAACTGGTTTCGTTTATCAGGTTAGAGAACAAAAAAATTCGAACCAGGAGACAACAACTTTTTATTAGGGAAAATTTTGGAAAGAATTTAGAATTTAGAATAAAAAATAAAGGAATTTAAAAAGAATTTAGAAAAAATTTGGTAAAAAAATTAAAAAGAATTGAAAAAAATTGAGAAATAATTTAAAGAAATTAAGAATGAATTTAGAAAAAAATAGAAAGAATTTAGTAAAAATTTAAAAAGAATTTTAAAAGATTAAGGAAAAATTTTAAATAAAAGTAGAAGGAATTTAGAATTTACAAAAAAAAAATAGAAAGAATTTAAAAAGCATTTAGTACAAATTGTAAAACAATTTAGAATTTACAAAAAAAAAATATAAAGAATTTAAAGAGCATTTAAAAAGAATTTATAAAAAAATAAAAAGAGTTTAATTTTGGAAAGAATTTAGAATTTAGAATAAAAAATAAAGGAATTTAAAAAGAATTTAGAAAAAATTTGGTAAAAAAATTTTAAAAACTTCAAAAAAATTGAGAAATAATTTAAAGAAATTGAGAATGAATTTAGAAAAAAATAGAAAGAATTTAGTAAAAATTTAGAAAGAATTTAGAAAAAATTTAGGAAGAATTTAAAAAAAAGTAGTTAAGGAATTTAGAATTTACAAAAAAATGGAAAGAATTTAAAAAGCATTTAGTAAAAATTGTGAAACAATTTAAAGAGAATTTAGAAAAAAATAGAAAGAATTTAAAAAGAATGTAATAAAAATTGTGAACGAATTTTAAAAAATTTAGGAAGAATTTACAAAAAAAAATAGAAAGAATTTAAAAAGAATTTAGTAAAAATTTAGAAAGAATTTTAAATAATTTGGGAAGAATTTACAAAACAATAGGAAGAATTTAAAAAGAATTTAGTAAAAATTTAGAATGAATTTAGAATTTAGAAAAAAATAGAAAGAATTTTAAAAAATTAAGGATATTTTGCAAAAAAAGTAGAAGAAATTTAGAATTTACACAAAATGGAAAGAATTTAAAAAGCATTTATTAAAAATTGTGAAGCAATTTAAAGAAATTTGGAAGGAATTTAGAATTTAGGAAAAAATATAAAGAATTTAAAGAGAATTTAGAAAGAATTTAAAATATTAAAATAGAAAGAATATAAAAAGAATTTAGTAAAAATTTAGAAAAAAGTTTTAAAAATTTTTAAAGAATTGATTAAAAAAATAGAAAGAATTATTTAGTAAAAAATTTACAAAGAATTTAGAAATTAAAAATATAATAGAAAGAATTTTGAAAAATTTCAGATAAATTTAAAAGCCATTTAGAAAGAATTCAGAAAAAATTTAGGAAAAATTTAGAAAAACTTTAGAAAGAATTTAGAAAGAATTTTAAATTATACAAATTTTGAATTTGTAGGAAAACTAAAAAATTGTTAATATTAAAATATTTATAATTTTAAGTTAAACGAATTTTTCCCATTTGCAGATTTCAAAGGGCATGGAGTATTTAGCGTCGAAGGGAATAATTCATCGTGATCTCGCTGCTAGAAATATTTTAATAGACGAGAATCGAGCGTGTAAAGTGGCGGATTTTGGATTTGCAAGGGACGTAGCGGCAAATCAAATTTACGAAAGAAAATCCGAGGGACGACTTCCAATTCGATGGATGGCACCCGAAAGTCTTTATGATAATATATTTTCCGTAAAGTCGGATATTTGGAGTTTTGGCGTTCTTATTTGGGAAATTGTCACTCTTGGTTCGACACCATATCCCGGATTAGGTGCCGCCGAGGTACGTAAATTTCTCTAAAAGAAGAAAAATAAATTTTTAGACATTATTTATTCAATTTATTTAAAATATTTATTTAAAATTTAATTTATATTTTTATAGCAAATATTACGCGGTATTCAATTTATTTTTATTATGTTAATTTACAAAAACTTTTTATTTTTGAATGAAAACTTCGATTTTTGAATAATTTCCAAATCAAAATTAAAAAAAATAAAATTATTGACTAAACAATTATTATTTTTATTTATTGTTTTTAAAAAATTTTAATAAAATTCTTAGCTGTAAATTCAATTATTATCAGGAAAAATAAAATTTTTCGTGGGATTTCAATTATTTTTGAAAATTTTAATAAAATTCAATGCAAGAATTCAATTATTTTCTTTAAATAATGAAAATTATTCGCAGGATTTCAATTATTTTCATAAAAAAAAAATTTCTTCCCAAAAATTCAATTCTTTTCGTAAATAATAATATTCTTCTCAAAAACTTAATTCTTTTTGTAAATAAATAATATTCTTCACAAAAATTCAATTATTTAAATAATTATTGGAATTCCAATAATTATAATGAAATTTTTGTCAAAAATTTAATTATTTTCAAAAATAATGAAACTCTGCAAGAAATCAATTATTCTTGTAAATAATAAAATTCTTTAGAAAGATTAAATTATTTTCTATAAAATTTTAATTAAATTCGATGTTAGAATTCAATTATATTCATAAATAATAAAATAATTTTCAAAAATTTTAATAAAATTAATTTTGAAATATCAATTATTTTTAAAATTAATAAAAATCTTCGCAAAAGTTCAATTCTTATTATAAATAATAATATTCTTCTCAGAAATTCAATTATTTCCAAAAATTTTAATAAAATTCTTGTCTAAAATTTTATTATTTTAAAAAATAATGAAATTTTTCACAAAAATTCAATTATTTCCAAAAATTTTAACAAAATTCCTTTCAAAAATTCAATTTTTCACTGTAATTCAATTATTTTTATAAATATTAAAAGTTTGCATTGGAATTTAATAATTTTCAAAAATTTCAATAAAATTCAATGCAAGAATTCAATTATTTCCATTAAATAATGAAAATTATTCGCAGAATTTCAATTATTTTTATAAAAAAATAAAATTCTTCGCAAAAATTCAATTGTTTTTGTAACTCTTTTCAAAAAATCAATTATTCTTGTAAATAATAAAATTCTTTAGAAAAATTAATTTATTTTCTATAAAATTTTAATTAAATTCGATGTTAGAATTCAATTATATTCATAAATAATAAAATAGGTAATTTCTAAAAATTTAATTATTTTCAAAAAATTTAATATTAATTCCTTTCGAAATTTCAATTATATTTTAAAATTCATAAAAATCTTCGCAAAAATTCAATTTTTCACTGTTATTCAATTATTTTTATAAATAATAAAAGTTTGCATTGAAATTCAATTTTTTTTTAAAATAATCAAATTCTTCTGAGAATGTCTATGATTTTTAAAAATTTTATTCAAAATCTTCCAAAAATTTTGAGAAAAGTTCTAATTAAAATTTAGTCAATTTCAAATATTTTAATAAAATTCTTCAAAAGAATTAAATTATTTTATAAATTTTTGATAAAAATTCATTTATTTTCTTTACAATTTTAATTGAATTCGTCGAAGGATTTAGTATAATTTTCAAAAATTTTAATAAAATTTTTTGCTAGATTTCAATTATTTTTATAAATAATAAAATTCTTAACTAGAATTATTTTTATAAGTAATTAAATTCTTCGAGGCAATTAAATTATTTTCAAGAGTTTTAATAAAATTCTAAAGCAGAAATTAAATTATTTCATATTTAAAATTATGAAAGTTACAAAAATTATAACAATTTTTTTTATAAAAAATATTCTTTTTTAATTTAACAAAAAAATGTGCCTATTAACACAAAATTATAAAAAACAAAATAATTTCTAAAATATTCTTGCAAAAATAATATCAAAAAATTTATTCTCTAAATCAGAATTTCTAAAAATTATAACTAATTACAACGCAAAAGTGATATCAATTTTTTTTGTAATTTAATTTAATTTTAATAATAACAAAATTAATAATGTACTTAATAATTTATTTAATTTTGCAATTTCGCATTATTTTTCAGGTGATGAGGCGAATAAAAGAAGGCTATCGACTCGACAGGCCAGAACATTGTAAACGTGAACTTTACAATATAATGTATTACTGTTGGGATAAGGATCCAGCGTGTAGACCATCTTTCGGTGAATTGGTAAATTTAACCGAGGGATTATTACTTGACGAAACTGATTACATTGAACTAGACAGGTTTCCAGATCACTCATACTATAATGTACTTAATTTGAGTGGTGAAAAGCTGTGAATAGATTTTTTTAAAACTTTTTTCAATTGTCGGACTTAATTAATTTTTGTAATCACAATTATTGATCAGTTGTGTAATAATACTCTAATTATGTAAATATTTCTTTACTAGGTATTTAATATTATTATAATTATTATTACTATACATTATAAATATGAATAATAGAGAAAGTTGTTGAGAATTTTTCCTAAAAAAGTTTTTTTTTTACTTTTATCAAAGTATATTTTAAAAATGTGCTTAAAAAATTCACATTGATAATTATTGAATTTACTGTCATATTTATCAATATGAATTTGCTCAATTCTGTGAAATTATTCTATTGTGGACCATTTTTTTTTTAATTTAATATGTGATGAATGTCTCTTGTGTTATTTTATTTTTAATTTTTAATTTGTAAATTTTATAAATTGCAAAAAAAAATTATTTTATTTGATGATAAATTATTTTAATATTTAATATGATAATCTTATCATCGCAAAAATCTTTTATATTTATATAATGATAAGTATTGTAATTTAAAAATGAATTGTAATACAAAATTTTTTTTTTCTTTCTTACATTATATTTTGAATATGCGGTAAATAAATTTTTGTACAATTTTAAATAGATTCTAAAAAAAAATCTGTAAAATAAATTTATTACGAAATTTTTGTATCTGAAAAAAATTGTTACCAAATTGAGATGTATATATGTGCTAAGTCATTTATTGTCGATAATTTTACACTGTAATTTGTAATTAAACATTGAAATAAAATGTTGCAATTTAATATTGTATTTTCTTATTATTCCAGGTTCTTGAAATATTCAAATTAAATAAAAGAAAAATATTATTAGTTAAGTTTTTATACGAATTACAGCAGAAAAATCTTATAAATTTTAAAACAGAAAATTATTTGCAATAAATTAAAACAAAAAATTATTTTAAAAATTCCGATTTTTGGAATTAATCGATTCAAATTTTCCCGCCGTATCCCTTCCAGTGAATGTTTAAATTCTGGCGCCTTTCGTCTGGTTGATGGCGCATGGCATACTTCAGGTCTCTTATCAGCTGTTATGAAATCGGCCTGTCAATTTTGTAAGAAAAAACACAATTAAAATTGTTTTATTCATCAAGTGTTATTCCATTCGAGAGAAATAAGAAGCTCGGAAGTTTAATTCTGTTTTCATTCAGTATCATGGACTCTGAGAAGAACGGTGTTCCTTATTCACGAAGTGGTGACAAAGAGGAAGATGAGGTTAGTTTTTGACAACTTTTACAATTAAATCGTTTCTTATTATTTAAATATTAATATTCATTTAAATAAAACTATTTAAACCTTTATTATTATTTCTATTTAATTTAAATTTACCTTTTGGCAATTTTTCCAATAATCTTCTGTCATTTCTTCTAATTCTTATGTTAACACGTTTTTTGCAGTCATTCCAATGAAAGTTATTATTAAAAAAAAGTTTTCAATTGCTCTATTTAAAACAAAATGATTAGTAAATTTTAATTTATTAATGAAATGTATTTTTAACTCGAGGTTGAAGTCTGCAACATTTTTAAAAAACGAAAAATCAAAACGGAATTATTTTTCAAGTTAAATTCATCTCTAATTTTCATTTGCTTAAAATTTAAAGAAATTAATAACAATTAATTTAAAAAAAAAGACAAAAAAAAATTTTAAAGACAAAAGAATAATGTGAATTTGAATAAAAATTAAATAAATCGTCACATTTTTTCGTTTTTTAAAAACGTTGCGAACTTCACGAAGTTGAAGTCCACAACGTTTATCAACGAAAAAAATTTATTTAATACTTTCAAATATTATTTTTAATTTAATATTTAATTGTAAAATAATTATTATCAAAATATAAACATCAATCTTTTTTTTCTAAATATTTTTGGGTAAATATTGCTGCGCATTTTTAATTAATTTACTAAGTAAACAATTTTTTTCGTTGATCAACGTTGTGGACTTCAACTTGGTGCGATCTTCAGTCTTGCTTCAGTCTCTCTTTTAAGTACAGTGACAATTTAATTGTATTTTATCATTTCATTTTTTACAATCTAATAGAAAATATCGTGTTTTTTACATATTTTTTAAATAAAAATTATATTTTCCAGAAATTACTGAAGCCATTTACTTATATACTTCAAGTTCCTGGTAAACAAGTTCGAGGGAAATTAGCGCACGCTTTTAATTTTTGGCTTAAAATCCCAAGTGAAAAAATTCTAAAAGTCGGTAATATTATTCAAATGCTTCACAATTCGAGTTTATTGTAAGTATTTTATTTAAACTATTTTTTTTAAATTACTGATAGAAAAAAACTTATTACAATTATTGAATATTCATATATAAAAGTTCCATTCATATGATTTTATATTATTCATGTCTTAGTTTATTATTATTCATTCTGTTTTATTAGTTTTATTTATTAAATACTCATTAAATTTCAAAATCGATTGGAAAATATCAAAAAAAAATTATTCCAAAAGTTCTGAACCTTCAAATGAACGAAATTTTTCGCCAATATCAATAATTATTTTTAAAAATTACTGACGTTCGAAAAAAAAAGAAAAAGCAAAAATAAATATTTAGTCTGGATTTTTTTTTAATACGAGACATAATATTATTGTAAATAAAATTTTAAATTGAAGAGGAAATAAATAAATTTCATTGATTTCAAGTTTCAGAACTTTTGGGAACATTGGAAATTAAATAGTATATTTTTTTACAATAAAATTAAAATGAAATTTATAATTATAGTATTAAAAAAAAATTGTTCAAGCAGGATAGACGATATTGAGGATAATTCCATTTTAAGAAGAGGAATTCCTGTCGCTCATTCAATTTATGGAGTAGCTAGTACAATTAATGCTGCAAACTACGTTCTTTTTATCGCCCTAGAAAATGTTTTATCGTTAAATCATCCTGAGGTTTGTTTCTTCATTTTTCTATTTTTTATTATATTAAACATTTAATATCTTGGGATTTTTTTACACACCAATGTTTATTTAAATCTAAAAGAACTGAAATTCCAATTAGAATTATTTATTTGATGTTCGAATTTATTGCATACTTAATTTTCTTTTCATTTATTGCAGTTCAATGGTTATTAAAATTTGAAAAAACTGAAATTCAAATTAGAATTATTTAAATTTCTTTAGATATTTGATACACTTTTCATTTATTAGAGTCCAACGTTTGTTTAAATTTATGAACAAATGACTAGAGTATTCAAATTAAATCTTATTCATTTAAATGAATTTCTTTTTTCCCTTTTTCTTGCAATTTTAAGAAATCCAAAGTTTTTTTTTTATGAATTTTTCACATTGTGTTAAATATTCATCGGAAAAATTAAGAAAAAAAGGGAAAAACAATTTTTTTTTTTTGTAAAAAGGTTACAAATTGAAATTTAAATTGGCTTCTTTTGAATCCAGGCGACTCAGGTGTTTACTGAACAGATAATGGAATTACATCGTGGCCAAGGAATGGAGATTTATTGGAGAGATAATTTTATTTGTCCTTCGGAGGAGGAATACAAAACTATGACAATTAGAAGTAAGATTGAACGTAATTGATTAATTGACCTCTTGCTCATTTATTGAAAGGGTTTATTGCAATCGATATCGTCACTTTTATTTATGACAATTTCCGTTTGCTCCCATTTTTATTTTCCAATTTTCGTTGTTTATTTTCAGTCTTTTCATATTTAAATATCTATTTTTTGCTTCTTTTTTTCTCTTTGATTTGTTTTTCTTTTTTTGCTTTTCGTTTTCTTTTTGTTTTTAATTTTTTCTTTTTTTAATAATAAATAATTACTAATAGAGAATTTTTGTGCCAATAGAGACTGGAGGTCTTTTCAATTTGGCTGTGAGATTAATGCAGCTTTTCTCCGACTGTAAAGAAGATTTTGCACCATTAGCCGGAATTTTGGGCTTGTACTTCCAAATTCGGGACGATTACTGTAATTTATGCCTTCAAGAGGTAGATTTTCAATATTAATTTATAAATATAGTTTCTAAAATGCTTTTAACATTATTTTTACAAAATTATATAATTAATAATTAATAATTAATTGATAAATAAAATAATATTCATTATTATTTATTTATTAACGATAAAATACACAATATTAATATATTTATACATTAAATATAATACACAAATTAATTAATTCATTACATTAATACTAATAAAAAAATTACAGTATACAGAAAACAAAAGTTACTGCGAGGATCTTTCAGAGGGAAAATTCAGCTTTCCAATCATACACGCAATTCAAAATCAACCAGAAGACGACCAAGTATTGAGTATCCTTTATAGAAACTATTTTCTCAACCATTCTCAACCATAACCAATTTTTTCTTACCTTCTATTTTTAAATTAATTTATTATTTTCTTTGAAATTTATTTTTCTAATTTTTTTTTTTGAAATTTATTCTTCCTATTTTCTTTGATATTTTTTCTTTAAAATTCTTTTTTTGGAATTCTTTTTTTGAAATTCATTTCTCTGAAATTACATAATTTTCACAATGTTAATGTTAATGTTTTTTCCTTAATCGAAACTCGCAGACATTCTTCGGCAACGAACGAAAAACGTTGAAGTGAAAAGGTATTGCGTTAATCTTCTAGAAAAATTTGGTTCCTTCAACTATACGAGAAATGTTCTCTCCGAGCTTAATGAGAAAGCGAGAAAAGAAATAGAAAGGTTGGGCGGTAATCCTTATCTCATTTCTCTTCTAGATGAATTACTTACATGGGATCGAGGTTAAAGTACAATTTTTCCAACGAAAATTTTAAAATTACTTTTTTACTTCTCTAAATAATAATTAGAAAAACTTGACTTCTATTTATAATAATTAATAGATCTTTTTATTTGTGATTTTAATATAATTTTCTCGGGGTTTTTTTTTATTTTTTACGTAATCTGAAAGAAAACATATCGCATGTATTTAAATACAATTTATTTAATTAGGAGCTTTCCTGTTTTGACAATAATTAATATATAGATATTTTTTTTTTCTTAAACAAAACGGACTCCTAACTTTTAAGGTGATTTTTTTTCTGTGTTAATTTTCATATTTTTATTATTTTTATTTGTTATGAAAAGTTATTTTTTTATAAATTTACAATATTTACGGATTATTTTACTTATTATTAATTATAATATATTTAATACCTTTTTGTTTATTTTGATAAATAATTTTTTATAATAAAATACCCTGGTCAAATGTAGAAAAAACAATTTCTCTTTAATGTAATTTTTTATTAAATTAATTAGTAATTGTACAACGTCGTATTTAATATTTAATAGTATAATAAATACAAATTAACGAAATTTTCTCGTTTTATCATGTTATTATAAATCATTATAAATAATAATAATAATTATAATAATTTTAGTATTAATAATAATCCATCGATGCTCAATAAAATTTAGCGTAATAATTATTTTACAATTAGCACATCATCACTATATTTTATATTATTTTATATTTTTAATTTTAGACTTTTTTAAGTACATAAAAAAACCATACACTCTTCTCTAGAAATATTTACATCAGTATTTATACATTTATATAATTTTCTTTTTCTTGGCACTAGAAAATCACACAAATTTTTTTTTAATTAATTAAATAATACATTAGAATTTTTTTTATTGAAAGAAAAAACAATAAATTATGTATTATTAAGAAATTATATTATTTTCTAATTGTAATATGTAATTTTGCAAGAGTAGAATAATTTTCTTTTTGATTTTTTTTTCATAATTTCATTAAATAAATTTAAATAAATAAGAATAAGAAAAAAATTTTTTGGCGATAGAATTTTTTTTTTTTGGAAAATATTTTTACTGTAAAAAAAATTAGGATAATGTGGCAATTTGGCAAATCCTTTGTTCTGGTTCACTGTCTTCGTCGGTCTCGCTGGCCCACGAAGACTGTCTCTCTTGTCATATTTCCCCATCACTGTCAATGTATCGACCTTGTGAACCCGAAACATCGTCCAAGACTTCTGTCACCTGTTATTAAAATTAATAAATAAAATTAAGAAATTAATTATAATTTTTTGATTTTTTTCAATATATTTATGTATATTAATTTATAATTTATGATTAATAAATTTATATATTGCACTTTTTCTACTAATTACAAAATTTATTAATTCAAATATTAATAAACATTAACTTAAAAAATTATTATTACAATTAATTTTAATTAAATAACTAATAATAATAATTAAATAATAATTATAGTAAAAAAATTTTTAATTAATATTAATAATTATATAATTGATGATAATAATAAGAATAATAACAATTCAATATTTTTTGGAAGCCATAAAATTATATTAATAAAAGATGTTTTAGTTAAATAATAATAATAATAATAAAAGAATAAATATTAAAATAAAAAACTTTTAATTAATATTAATTTTTAATTAAATTAATTAATTAATAATTAATAATAAATAATAGGTATTCTAATTAACTATAATTCAATAATTAATAAAAATATATTTTAATTCTATTTCAACTACATTTTAAAATTATTATTAACTTTAAATTATTATTTATTCTTTAATTATTCATAATTTATTTAATATTTATTTATATTTCTTTACATTTGTTTATATTTATTAATTTTCATTAATATAATGTTAAATTTTTGTCAACAAATATACAAAAATTTAAATTTTAGTCAATTCGTTATTATTATAATAAAGTAATAATAATAATTGAACAATTAATATAAATTATAGAAGAAAATTTTCAAACTCCATTATTTGAATTTTTGAAAATTTCCCGCGCTTTTTACAGGGAGAGTACTTCCGTTTCTTCACGCATCAAAAAGGATTTTAACAATTCCCAGTGGACATTTTTTTAATAATTAATCAATATTTATTGTTTTTAGATCATAATTTATATATTTAATAAGTAGAAAATTTGTTCTTTTTGTCTGAAAGTATTTTTCCAAATTCCAATGTAAAAAAAAGTTGTTTTGACTAATGCAGTATCATTTCCGTACGTTCTCGCGCCTCTCTTCGTAAAATCAACGCTCCCTCATATTTAACAAAATTCTCCCATTATTTTAACGAATCACGTCATTTATTAGTTTAATTCTTGTAATCGGAGTGATAAAATAATAAATAATTGTATAATTTAACAGTGTAAATAAGAATACGATAAAATAATTACTGGGGAAAGTGTTATTCGTCTTCCGGCTTGTCTAGTTTCTTATGGTGACTGTCATTGTTGTTTCCGGCCGGTGTAACGGTCGTTATGTTTTTGTTAATTTTCGTCTATTATCAAGCAAACAATGAATGGAATTTGAGTGTTTATTGTTAACAAATTATGTGTGAACATCGGGAACAGTGAAAATATATTGTGTGTGCATGGAATTTAAAGTGAAATATCGAATTGAAAAGTGACAAAGTTTAGTGAAATTGTGCTCTGCGTCCACGAGGTTAATTTGTCTGAATTTGTGTGGAATTAACAGGTAACATTCAATGTTTATCATATGAGTGAGTAATTTTGTTCAATTCTATCCTTTTTGTGTTATTTTTATCATTTTGCGACTATTTGTAAGAGGAAATTGTGTACGAATTTTTCCCATGTGTGAACATAACCCCAAAATGTATTGGAATTTCGATGACGGATTTTTGAGGTTTTTTTTTACAATTTATTTTATTTCTTTTGACAAATTTGTTTGGGAAATTAATTGAAATATTCGCCTTTGATGATAAAATAGAAAAAATATTGATAAATGTGGAGAAATCTTACTAAAACGTCTTCGAAATGATCGTAGCATTCTGGTCTCGTGTGTAAAAGACTTTCGCCCAATTGATCAATTCCTGTACTTGTTCGATCAGGACTTCGATGATCTATTGCACTTGTTGCAATGTATGCTAGAGATAATACAGCCAAAAGTCCAGCTGAAATAACAATAATAATTAAATTCACATTCTGAAAATTAGTTTACCGGGAGGGAAATTTTATTCTCCAATAAACAAACAGGAGCTTTTTGTTCGTTCCTCTCTTTTATGTTTTATATATTTTCGAACAAAATAAATCTAATTGTTTCCTGTTTTTCAGAGGGAAATGGGAGTTAAAGGGAATTTCTATGTTATATAGAGAGACGGATTTTCAGATTCGCTTTGCGACTTTTGCTTTTCAAGTTTTCAAATACAAAAGAATCCTTTTTGTTTTTCTGTTTTTGTCGCATCTTGTCGACACAGAGAAGAGAGGCAAAAAGTGGGATGGAAAAGCGGTATATACTTACCGGCAACAAAAGAGAGCCAAAGTCTGTATGGTTTCCAAGCCAAAATGCAGGACACGGGGAGGTAAAACAAAGACCTTCGCCAGCCCCTCGTTATCATCAGAACGCTCGCCCAGCAATTCCAACAAAGGGACTCGTCGTTTCTGGAACAAAGTTCACTTTCAGTTCATTCTTGTGAAAAGGCAATTGATTCTTCTCACGTTTCATTTAATCTTATACATTCAACTCTAAGGAATTTAAATGTATCGAATTTCTCTCTATACATTTATACCAGTTTTCTTCTCTCTCTCCTCCTTTTCTTTTGTTTCAGAGAGAGTATCATTCCTCGAAACTAATTTCTTATTTACAAAAAGAAAAATATCTTCTTTCATGTTCAATTTTCCTTCAGTTTATCATTATTTTTTTCTTACAATCTTACAATTTGAATTTAATGATCTATAAAGTTTTTAACGAAGCCAATTATTAATTTTCTTTTTCTCCAGGGTTGCCACAGGTCAGGGAAATCAGGGGAAAGTTAGGGATTTTTATTAAAGTACTGGAAAAAATTAAATTTGCAGGATTCATAATTAGATTTATTTTATTTTTCAATATATATTTAATTAATTATTAAAAATCATGGATTTATAGAAGAATTTTAGTTAAAACCACTGAAAAAAATTGTATTTCAGAGGAGATACAAATGTTTGCAAAAATTCAATTTTGTTCAAAAATTAAAAAAAATTCTTGTCAAAATTTCACTTATCTTTAAAAATAATAAAATTCTTCTTCAAAATTCAATTATTTTCAAAAAAATTTTTAAATTCTAAGCAAACATTAAATTATTTTTATAAATAATAAAAATTTCTCAGGAACTCAACTATTTATACATTTTTTTATAAATTTCTTGGCAATAATTCAATTATTTTAAAAAATAATAAAATTTTTTATAGATATTCAATTATTTTCATAAATAATAAAACTTATTCTATAATTTCAATTATTTTTAATACAATTTTAATCGAATTCCTTGAAAAATGGAATTATTTTTGCAAATTTTATTAAAATTCGTCCAAAAAAATAAATTATTTAAAAATTTATTAATAAATTAAATTTAATTAATTAATTAAAGTTCAGAATTCAATTTTGAGAAAAATTCAATTCTTCAATAAATTATTCTTTTTTCTTTTTAAATAATTGAATTCACTTAGAATTTTCTCTAATTAACATTGATTTAAAAATGAATTTCAGTTAAAATTTTAGATGATAATTAAATATTAAAAGCATTATAAAATAAATTATTAGAAACTATTGAATTTATTTAAAATTATTTCAAGCTTTTATTTTCTAAATATTTAATTAAAGAATTTCCCAATAATGAAAATTTCGTAAAAATGAATTTTACAAATTTTATTACATTTTTATGAATTGTGAATTAATTTTATTTATTATTTTTATGACCCAGATATTAATAGGAATTGTTCTAGTGATAAGTTAGGACCAGTAAACAATTTTGTGACTAAAAATTGTTAATAAACAATTGATTTTGTTGTAGCCTATTGTTCCTTAGATGTTTATTTACAAGAATTTCTTATTTTAAACTAATTTTGGCAAAATTACTAGTCAAAATACTCCATCCGCCAATTAGCAGAAAATCGAATTTTCGAGTTTTGCGAAGCTAAGAGCTTTAAAAAATTCAATTGTTAATAAACAATTGATTTTGTTGTTGCCCATTGTTCCTTAGATGTTTGTTCACAAGAATTTCCTATAGTAAAATAATTTTTGCAAAATTACTAGTCAAAATACTCTATCCGCCAATTAGCAGACAATCGAATTTTCGAGTTTTGCGAAGCTAGGAGCTTTAAAAAATTCAATTGTTAATAAACAATTGATTTTGTTGTTGCCCATTGTTCCTTAGATGTTTGTACACAAGAATTTCCTTTAGTAAAATAATTTTTGCAAAATTACTAGTCAAAATACTCTATCCGCCAATTAGCAGACAATCGAATTTTCGAGTTTTGCGAAGCTAAGAGCTTTAAAAAATTTAATTGTTAATAAACAATTGATTTTGTTGTTGCCCATTGTTCCTTAGATGTTTGTTCACAAGAATTTCTTATTTTAAACTAATTTTTGCAAAATTACCAGTCAAAATACTCCATCCGCCAATTAGCAGACAATCGAATTTTCGAGTTTTGCGAAGCTAAGAGCTTTAAAAAATTCAATTGTTAATAAACAATTGATTTTGTTGTTGCCCATTGTTCCTTAGATGTTTGTTCACAAGAATTTCTTTTAGTAAAATAATTTCTGCAAAATTACTAGTCAAAATACTTCATCCGCCAATTAGCAGACAATCGAATTTTCGAGCTATGCGAAGCTAAGAGCTTTAAAAAATTCAATTGTTAATAAACAAATGATTTTGTTGTAGACTATTGTTCCTTAGATGTTTATTTACAAGAATTTCTTAAATTTAAATAATTTTTGGCAAAATTACTAGTCAAAATACTCCATCCGCCAATTAGCAGACAATCGAATTTTCGAATTTTGCGAAGCTAAGAGCTTTAAAAAATTCAATTGTTAATAAACAATTTATTTTATTGTTGCCCATTGTTTCTTAGATGTTTGTTCACAAGAATTTCTTATTTTAAACTAATTTTGGCAAAATTACTAGTCAAAATACTCCATCCGCCAATTAGCAGACAATCGAATTTTCGAGCTTTGCGAAACTAAGAGCTTTAAAAAATTCAATTGTTAATAAACAATTGATTTTGTTGTTGCCCATTGTTCCTTAGATGTTTGTTCACAATAATTTTTTATTTTAAAATAATTTCTGCAAAATTACTAGTCAAAATACTCCATCCGCCAATTAGCAGACAATCGAATTTTCGAGTTTTGGGAAGCTAAGAGCTTTAAAATATTCAATTGTTAATAAACAATTGATTTTGTTGTTGCCCATTGTTCCTTAGATGTTTGTTCACAAGAATTTCCTATAGTAAAATAATTTTTGCAAAATTACTAGTCAAAATACTTTATCCGCCAATTAGCAGACAATCGAGTTTTCGAGTTTTGCGAAGCTAAGAGCTTTAAAAAATTCAATTGTTAATAAACAATTGATTTTGTTGTTGCCCATTGTTCCTTAGATGTTTGTTCACAAGAAAATCTTATTTTAAAATAATTTTGGCAAAATTACTAGTCAAAATACTCCATCCGCCAATTAGCAGACAATCGAATTTTCGAGTTTTGCGAAGCTAAGAGCTTTAAAAAATTCAATTGTTAATAAACAATTGATTTTGTTGTTGCCCATTGTTCCTTAGATGTTTGTTGACAAGAATTTTCTTTAGTAAAATAATTTTTGCAAAATTACCAGTCAAAATACTCCATCCGCCAATTAGCAGACAATCGAATTTTCGAGTTTTGCGAAGCTAAGAGCTTGAAAAAATTCAATTGTTAATAAGCAATTGATTTTGTTGTTGCCCATTGTTCCTTAGATGTTTGTTCACAAGAATTTCTTTTAGTAAAATAATTTCTGCAAAATTACTAGTCAAAATACTTCATCCGCCAATTAGCAGACAATCGAATTTTCGAGCTATGCGAAGCTAAGAGCTTTAAAAAATTCAATTGTTAATAAACAAATGATTTTGTTGTAGACTATTGTTCCTTAGATGTTTATTTACAAGAATTTCTTAAATTTAAATAATTTTTGGCAAAATTACTAGTCAAAATACTCCATCCGCCAATTAGCAGACAATCGAATTTTCGAGTTTTGCGAAGCTAAGAGCTTTAAAAAATTCAATTGTTAATAAACAATTGATTTTGTTGTTGCCCATTGTTCCTTAGATGTTTGTTCACAAGAATTTCTTATTTTAAACTAATTTTGGCAAAATTACTAGTCAAAATACTCCATCCGCCAATTAGCAGACAATCGAATTTTCGAGCTTTGCGAAACTAAGAGCTTTAAAAAATTCAATTGTTAATAAACAATTGATTTTGTTGTTGCCCATTGTTCCTTAGATGTTTGTTCACAATAATTTTTTATTTTAAAATAATTTCTGCAAAATTACTAGTCAAAATACTCCATCCGCCAATTAGCAGACAATCGAATTTTCGAGTTTTGGGAAGCTAAGAGCTTTAAAATATTCAATTGTTAATAAACAATTGATTTTGTTGTTGCCCATTGTTCCTTAGATGTTTGTTCACAAGAATTTCCTATAGTAAAATAATTTTTGCAAAATTACTAGTCAAAATACTTTATCCGCCAATTAGCAGACAATCGAGTTTTCGAGTTTTGCGAAGCTAAGAGCTTTAAAAAATTCAATTGTTAATAAACAATTGATTTTGTTGTTGCCCATTGTTCCTTAGATGTTTGTTCACAAGAAAATCTTATTTTAAAATAATTTTGGCAAAATTACTAGTCAAAATACTCCATCCGCCAATTAGCAGACAATCGAATTTTCGAGTTTTGCGAAGCTAAGAGCTTTAAAAAATTCAATTGTTAATAAACAATTGATTTTGTTGTTGCCCATTGTTCCTTAGATGTTTGTTGACAAGAATTTTCTTTAGTAAAATAATTTTTGCAAAATTACCAGTCAAAATACTCCATCCGCCAATTAGCAGACAATCGAATTTTCGAGTTTTGCGAAGCTAAGAGCTTGAAAAAATTCAATTGTTAATAAGCAATTGATTTTGTTGTTGCCCATTGTTCCTTAGATGTTTGTTCACAAGAATTTCTTTTAGTAAAATAATTTCTGCAAAATTACTAGTCAAAATACTTCATCCGCCAATTAGCAGACAATCGAATTTTCGAGCTATGCGAAGCTAAGAGCTTTAAAAAATTCAATTGTTAATAAACAAATGATTTTGTTGTAGACTATTGTTCCTTAGATGTTTATTTACAAGAATTTCTTAAATTTAAATAATTTTTGGCAAAATTACTAGTCAAAATACTCCATCCGCCAATTAGCAGACAATCGAATTTTCGAGTTTTGCGAAGCTAAGAGCTTTAAAAAATTTAATTGTTAATAAACAATTGATTTTGTTGTTGCCCATTGTTCCTTAGATGTTTATTTACAAGAATTTCTTATTTTAAAATAATTTTGGCAAACTTACTAGTCAAAATACTCCATCCGCCAGTTAGCAGACAATCGAATTTTCGAATTTTGCGAAACTAAGA